CTTTTTTTTAACACACTCAGATAAATTCTTTCTAATAGTATTCACATCTTTTATTAAGGATGATACGATATAAAGGTCCTTGCAAAGGTCTATCTTTGAAGAGCCTGAAAATGTTTGGATCAAGGATGGCAGCCTTTTGTATGTTACTTCACATTATTTTTTGGGGGGTTAATTAGCCCTAATAATTTCCGACTACCCTTTTATATACTCTCTTAGGAAGAGTTGGCAAGAGGCATTACAATGATCACTGTAACTACAGAACAAATGAAGATCAAGTGTTTGCTTCTTAATGTTTCCATTGCCAATCAACTGTGATTTTCAACTTTTCCACAGACTGATGATGATCCCACTAAAGACACAACCAGACAAAAGCTGAAAGGAAATGGTGCTGTATGCCATCTTGTTCCCGTCCCACATGGGAATGACGTGGCATCAATCTTTGAACTGGATCCTACTACACTGACGAGAGCAGACTCACTGGTACCAAGGTGATCAGTCAGCAAAAATGCTTCTCAGTTGATGAATTCACATTTATTTATTCATATATTTTAGATTGCTTTGCTTTTCCGGATTGTCAGACCGAGGTACTTCTTCATGTATATTGTATGTCACTTCCATCCTCTTCCTGCTATCTGGATTTGTTCTTGGTAGTGCCGAGTTCAACTCCTCAGCTGCATTGTGTAAATAACCAACTGGTCAGCCTCTTGCCAGTTAGGATTCATTATAGTTTACGTTCTATTTCCAATATTTGTTTAGTTATAATTTACATTGTTCGTAATTAGGACAGCAGCACTAAATACATTTGTCACTTAAATAGAGTTTTTTTTATTTGTTTTCTTCTGCTACATAATTGCAGTTTTGATGCACAGCCCTTTAGTTTGCTCACAGGAAGTACAGTCTTACACCCAAGAAGTCTGATCTCTCAATTTTGTTAAGGTGGTAGTTAATTAATCTACCATTTACCAAATTTGTTTCCGAGTTAATAAATCAGTAGTGATTGATGTATGAATTGTTGCTCTATTGTTTTCTAAGGTGATCTGCATTACTTTATTTTTAGTAAACAATTTTACCTTTTTCAAACTGCATTGCTTATTTTGTTCATGTTTCTTTGCAGGTCATCATATGTTCGTCTCAGACATCTGTGCACCAGCACATGGGTGCATTCTACCTCCATACCCATTGACAAGAGTGAGGAACGACCCGTTATGCTGAAGGTAAAATGCTACAAACACTTTCACTACCACTATAAGCACAACTCAGTTATTTCTGTACAATCATGCCTCAAGGTGCACTCTCTTCTGCTAGCAAGCAAATGTGGCACGGTAGTGAAAGCGCTCAGCTCCCACCAACATGGTCCAGGTTTGAATCCTGGACTGAATTATAGTTTGTTGTTGGTTCTTGCCTTGCTTTGAGGGTTTTTCTCCGGTTTTTCTCAAGCCACAAAAGCCAACGCTTCTTAATTCCCATTCAATCTAGAAACACTGGATGAAAAGCCTCTCTTTGGGATGCACTGCTGTGAATTCTTATTAATGTATTAGCTTATTATTATTACACTGTATTTATTTATTTATTTGTTTTGCAATTTCTTGTATATTCAGATTGGTACAGCAAGCATCAAAGAAGACAAAGAAGCTTTTGCTATTGTCCCTGTTCCTCCAGCAGAAGTGCGAGATTTAGATTTTGCTAACGATGCCAGTAAAGTCTTGGGGTCATTCGCAAACAAGATGGAAACAGGAAACTACACTCAGCACGAAAGACGGTACAGTAGATTGAGTTTTAAATGTTTACAAAAGTGATCAGGGACTGGTTAAAAAAAAAAAAAAAAGAATCCAATTTTTTTCTGAAATTGTCTTTGTGTTTCCGTTATGTTTCCTTGATACATCAAGGCAATTTCCTGATGATTTTTGTTATTTTCATTCTGTATGACAATTTATTGAATAAGAAACTGAATGAGAAATTAGATGCAAAGAAAGTCGTGGTTTATGGTATCTTGGTGGAATAACATGTATGCCAAGTTAGCACATAACATGGTCTCACCTCTTCTATTTTCACACATCCTCACTCATTGACAAGCTAATCCTGGCAATTTTGTGACCCTTAAAGCTGGTTATACATGTACATGTATGCTCCAGCTCCAGCAAGTCTCTTGCAGAGTTCTTAGCAATATACTGTCGGACTGTTGTTCAGACTGTCACATGTTTGATTTCAGTTGCATTTTCTCTATTATAATCGCTTGTATCTTTATCAAGAAATTCCCTGGAGATCTTGGTCACTCTTGAAACTTACAGACTTTTTTTTTTTCTACTATCTTCCAGGTTTGTTACACAGCTCTTATCTGACCTTGTTTACTTTGTGACGGAACATGACACTGGAAGGGAAGATGTCTTGAATATCTCCATCCAAAACCCGAACAGAGATCGACAGAAATTGATGAGGGAACAGTACATTTTGAAAGAGGTTAGCAATAATTAAGTCAAGCCTGCTGCCTGAAAATAAAACTCTGGCCACTACTACATGAATGTATTTGCCAAGTCACCATCAAAGTCAATCTAAGCTTGATGAAACTTTACACCTTTTCTGACTTGAAGAACGTGAGGTCAAGGTGGTTACTATTCACCAACTGTTCAATCACTGTAGCTGCCTCTGAAGAGCAATGTTTCTAGCTTGCAAAGAAAGTCTTGTCTGATAGTCAGGGGTAAGTGGATTTTGCATTCAGCCAAGTGGATTCTATTCTTTCCTTACTTGACGTGCAAGTGGAGTTTTTATGGCCAATTTTGGGAAATTCAGATTACAGACTGAAATACTGTAAGATTTGAAATATTATTGTCACAGTGTTTGCTTCAGTTTAAATTAATTAATCATGCTACAGCAGTTAGTAAGAAACTTGTTTGGGGCTAGTGAGAGTGACTTTCAGGCTCCTTGTATATCATAGTTGCAGCTTACTTGTAAGGCTTTGCACCCTGGGTTTGAATAAAGCAAGTTTGATTTAACAGTTTATGAGTTCCATGTCTAGCAGTAGTTAATCTTCTTCACCCTTCCTCTGTCTAGGTGTTTCATCTTTTGAAGGCTCCTTTCACTGACAAAGGTTCCGGTCCTATCATGAAGATAGAGGAACTCTCTGATGCCAGACATGCTCCTCTGAGGCACATCTTTAGACTCTGTTACAGGGTGCTAAGACACTCACAGCAAGACTATCGAAAAAATCAGGTAATGTAATGTAACAAGAGTTTAGCTCATAATCTAATTGTTAAATAGACCCTTTTCATAAATGGCTGCCAATTATAAGTTCTTTTGCAAGTATTAAAATTAGCCCGACTGACCTCGTTTTTGAGTTGACAATTCAAAAGAATTGTTACTCCCAAACGAGTTTAGTGAGGCTAATTTAAATGTATACAAAAGAATTTTAAATTGGCAGCCATTTATGAAAAGGGTCGATAGAAGCACGATTTAGAACCAATCGGCGCGCGTTTTTTCTTTGGACTATTTTCTAAAGATGTGCACCAAAATTGACTGTTCTAATTAACTGCTGTTTGAATATAGCTTTTACTAGAGTCTTACTTGGGTAACTTGTTACTGGAAGGTAATTCTCCTATTATCCGTTCTGTATGTAGCATGGGTGAACTGTAAGTGCCAATTTAAAACAGTACTCATCTTATGTCTTTGTTGTATCTTGTACCCTGGGCTAAGTCGTTTATCATAAGCGTGATGACTGACGTTGAAGTTGTAGCCTGGGTAGCTGGCAGGATTTTGTGCAAGAAAGCTTTGTTTCGGCGGCAGCGCCACGGACGCTAGGGACCTGCCACGAGGGAATTTTTATCCGTCGGCTTCGCCAGAGGTTCCTCTGCTAAAACAAAGCACTCTTGCACTAAATCCCGCAGCTAGGCAGGATACAGTTGTCCACAGACCCTTTATTTTGTCTTGAGTTCTTCGAGATCACAAGCTTAGGAAACATTAACCCGCGCGTGAGATACACGCGTTAAAATGCAACGGGGTGGGGCTGGGGAAAGATCACTCGCGGGAAGAAAAAAACACTCGTAGCAAATGAAATAAACGTCAGTGGGCAGACTTAGCAGGTTATTCGAGGGTTTTTTCATGGACTGCTCAATGTACGCTAAAGAGTCCAACACGCTAGTCATTTGGCCACCCCATCTTTTACATGCGTGTGTGTAGCTGTGGAAGGAATTACGAATTTTTCCATTTTTTGCAGGAGTACATTGCCAAACAGTTTGGCTTCATGCAGGCACAGATCGGCTATGATATACTGGCTGAGGACACCATAACTGATCTTGTACACAACAACAGAAAACTCTTGGAGAAACACATCACTCGCACAGAGATCGAGACATTTGTCAATTTAGTTCGTAAGAAGAAAGAATGCAGGTAAGTTGGGATAGTTAGTCCATTGTAGGGCTGTGTGAGAAGTAATACATCAAGCAAGAGAGACTGTGCGTTATCTCAGAAGAGATTTCAGTATTTTTGGCAAAATAGACCATTTCCGAGTTACCTTGTGCCTCAGTTTCAAACGGAGTCCCCGTGCAAAACCTTTCATATGAAAATGAGTTTGATTTGCGTGAAAATGACCCTGTAGGTGGAACTCATTTTCATATGAATGGTTTCACACCAAGACTCGTTTTGACACAGAGGCAAGAGGCAACTCGGTAATGGCCTATTCGGTGTTCGGGAATGTGGTGAAACACTATCTCAATTATGTGATATATCTTCTCAATCAAAATTAAAAATAAGGAGAACACGGAGAAATAAAATCGTAAGCATCTATGCTAATGAACTTTAACTTACATAAGTCATTAATGAGTTTGAGAAGGATTCATTGGCTTTACTACTCAGGTCACACTGGTTACGCATACTGCAAGACATTTTTGCCAGTTTGGAGGCTACTAGTTAGTGACGATGTATGGACCGATATATATCTTTGTCAAATTTTTAGCCAGGATTTGTTTAGATTTAAATCATCTTTGGTATGCTTTCCATTGATTAAGGATCCCCATACTCCTACATGTAGAGTGAAAAAGTAATATATCAAACACCAAAGACCGTGTTTGATCACATTTCCAAACACTGAGAAGAGAGTTGAGAATGCCTAGCGGAATATTTTTGACGAACTTCTAGGTGTTCGGGGATGTGGTCAAGCACTGTCTTGCGTGTTTGATATATCTTCTCAATCGAAACTAAAACTAAGAAGAAAATGGAGAAATAAAGACATAAAAGTCTCAGTTAATTAAAATCACATACCCAAACACCGTCATGGTCACGATTTACTTTGTGTAAACTTGATAAATTATTATTGAGTTTGAGAATATAAGGGAAATCATTTAACCGACATAAACTCTTTGTCATTATCATTTCTAGGTTTCTTGATTATCTGTCGGACTTGTGTGTCTCTAATAACACAGCAATTCCAGCAACACAAGAACTCATATGCAAGACGGTCTTATACTCCAGCAATTCTGACTTGCTCATCGAAACCAGGTCAGTTGCAATAAGTACGTCATGGTTCTCATTGCAGGCAATAAGCGGTAAAGTGTACCATCTCTAATGTTATTCAGTAAGTTTTGTCTATAACAGAAACTTCTGAAACGCAAACAAGCGGCCGCCATTATGTTAACGACCGCACACTGTTAGGCTACTCACCATCTATTAAACAATTAGATTATGAGCTCGAGATTGCTATCGCGCCCGAGTCAACTATCACGCATGGAAATGGAGAGCAAATAATCTACTAGTCGTCAGGAACTTTATCTAAATCCTCTTCACAGACACTTCGAAAACGCCAAGAAGCGGCCGTCTGTTTGTTAACAAGGGCACACTGCTACGCTACTCACTATCTATCACAGAATAGATAGTGAGTAGCGTAGCTTATCAGAAACCGGCATTCCTGATAGAACGCTAGTAGATTTATACTAAAACAGAATAGATAGCGAGTAACGTAGCCAATAAGAGAGCGGCATTCGTGACAGAACGTTTGAAGATATACTAAAAAGCAATAGATGGACACGTATTTATGAGACAAATGCGATTTAGTGCAATAAAATGCAGTATGAGCATAAAAATTAATACAGTGCTAGGTCTGCCATAACAGGAAACTAAAAGAAAGATTGCCTCAATTGCAAAATGTTTCTTTACTTCACCCAATGTTTTTCTTGTTTCCAGGTTAATTGAAGGTGAGGTGTTTCTCGTGTGGGATGGTGGTGACAAAGTAAAATCACAGAAAGATCTTGCAAAGGGCGCCAAACTAGGAATCAAGGATGACATCAGAATCTTGGACTATTACAGGTTCTACTTCATTAGTGCTTTTATTAATATTAACATTAATATTATAACATTAGTAATGCTTAGTGGCATCCATGAGGAAGTTCTTAGCCATTACCAGATAGCTCCATCTTTCCATCTGCTTTCAACGTCACCAAAGTATCAGAGTTACATAAATGTGAACAAGAGATGAGAGGTGTGGGATCGGATGTTCGTCATGTGCCTGTGAAAAAAGTAAAATCTCTAGTTCGTTCTTTTGAAAATTTGAGCAGCTTCAAATTCAACGAGATCGGTGTTCCTCAAGTAAGATACCTGTGGTCAAGTTATATATTAAACGCTTAGCGCGCATTTTGCTTTCCTTTGTTAAGATACCAGCTGAACCTGTTTTCACGGATGTGTCTGGACAGACAGTATCTTGCTATTAACAGCATCAGCAAGCAACTAGATGTCGACCTTATACTCAGGTCTGTATTGAATGTCTTTACCCTTGTTAGAACGGTTTTCAATTGAGTGTCGTAAAACTAAAACCAAAGTAATCACTTTAGCCAATCACAAAGGACGCAGACAATCCAGTGAACCAATCAGAACTTGAGGCAAATACGTGTAGCTGGCGCAAAGCGCGGGGAAACGTCGATGGGCGAGTTTTCATTGGTTTTGGTTTTACTCTTGATTGGTTGAAAAAGTGGCGCGAGATTTTTAAGCCAATCGCTCACTTTCGACATTCAAGTGAAATCTTCTCTATTGTGTAGGTGCTTTGGTTTGATCCTCTTAAATGCATTCAGATTAGATTGTTTAACAGTTTCGACAAATAGTTTGTTTTTGTGATACCCCTAGGTGTATGGCAGACAAGGAACTGTCATGTGACCTTCGAGCTGCATTCTGCCGTTTAATGCTTCACATGCACATAGACAGAGATCCACAAGAACCGGTTACACCGGTTAAGTATGCCAGACTGTGGTCGGAGATCCCAACAGAGATGAGTATTGAAATGTGAGTAAAACATAACCGCAATTACCGGACTTGGGCTAGGCCCCGTCCACACTACGCCGGAGAAATTTGAAAACGAAACAATCAGCGGCCATTTTGGATTTGTGTTTGTTGAAAACTCGGGCAGGGAAATCACGTGATTATCGTGACGTCATCGTTTTCGATAAACTCCGTTTTCAAAATGTTTTCCATCCACACGGAAACAAAAAGCTGTCGTTTTCAAATTCCTCTGGTTTGAAGAGCGTTTTTGAAAAGCTCCGTTTTCGTGACGGATTAGTGTGGACNTTTTCCATCCACACGGAAACAAAAAGCTGTCGTTTTCAAATTCCTCTGGTTTGAAGAGCGTTTTTGAAAAGCTCCGTTTTCGTGACGGATTAGTGTGGACGGTAGGCCTAACCGTAGAAACAAAGTTGCGCTTCAAATTCCTCCGGCGTTTTGTGGATGCTGCCGTAGTATGATATTGTGTTAATGCGCATGACGAAACGTGACCAAACTCATCTGTTATCTATAGCACATGTTACAAATAGCAATCAGAAGCGAAAAACTAAGAGCCCGCCTCAGGTATTCAAGAACTGGGTTGCGTTATTCAGTTGACCATCTCGAGTTTTTCAAGTTCCGTGAGAGGGTATTTCTGAAAAGAACTTTTGTCGAACGGATGTCATTTTGAGCAGAATCCAGTAAGAGTTACTTGTTAATCGATGGTTTCTGGGACACTTTTGGTCATTAAATAGGTTTTGCATTGTACTTTAAGTGTTTCAAAACTGAATTCAGTAACCATAACTTGGCTTACAAGTATTTTCCCACGTCTTGCATTAATTATGTTGTGATTGGCACGTTAAAGACACAATGGATTTGGTCTGTCCACTGATTTGGAGGTTTATCCACAGGTTAAAACTGGTATTTGTTTTTCAGGTATGATCAGCACCTAGCAGTAGGGGAAGAGAGAGAAGAAAACCGGTTGAGGTTTTCCGGCGTTATCACATTTGTGGAGAATTACCTGCAAAATATCAGCAGTAACATTTGGTCTTTTAGCGACAAGGAACAGAACAAACTCACTTTTGAGGTATGTGATGGAAACTTGATTATGGTGACGCTACTATTTTAATTATGATACGTTTTATTTGGAAACTTAAAACAGTAGCTCTGAGAAGGCGTCTATTTACGTTGCTGAAACCAGTGATGTGAGAAGCAACTGTTGCAGTCTTTAAATGCACTTTTGTTTGCTTCTGGAATCTTCATCCATTCCAGGACAAAACGAAGGATGTTATGTGTGAAATGTAAATCTTTTCGTGCCCCTTAACGCAAGCTACAATGTGCGACAAAAGTAGTTGAGACACTTTCAGAAAATGACGCTTTTCGATTTTAACCACTTATCCTATTTTATTTGTCTGGGGTTATTTCTCTGATACCTCCGGCCCCCCAATTCAATGTTGTGTGGGGGCTGTGGTCTGTGCAGTCTAAGAAATAGAAAAATCAACATTGTTTGGGTGGAAAGGGGGGAAATGTTTCCAAGACGCTCGAAAATCGAACTTTACTGCCAAGTGTCTCAACACTTTTGTCGCCCATTGTAGGCTACAAACTACAAACGACGAACTTGAAAAATTCAGGCTAAACTTTTCAAGATGCGCAAATCGTGACTTAGATCCTTTAATAGACATTTACTTTTCTCTTGTTGGTTCTACATGGATATATTGCGTTTGTTTTCCGTTAAATGTTGTTTCTTTGTTTACAGGTTGTGCAGATTGCAAGAAATTTGATCTACTTTGGATTTTATGGCTTCAGTGAGTTATTGCGTCTGACGCAAACAGTGTTGTCAATAGTGGACTGCGAGCAGCGCGCTCATGGTGGAGTAAGATCCTCTGGAAAGCCAGCAGGTGAGCGATAAGTGCTTGTAACTATCGCATCTTGTTTTGGCTCGGTGTTCCCTGGGCAAAACGTAAAGTCAATAAATGAGATCAACAATTCAATTCCAAGGATGGAACCCTAATGTGTGACCAATGAAAGTTACTGAGCAGTACTTTCACGTGAAACTGTTAATGCTGTACAAGATGGTACTAACTTTTAATTCTAGGTCCGTTGACGAAATCCTAGTGTGTGACCATTTAAATGAAAGCCACTAAGCAGCACTTTCACGTGGTGCTGTGTGTTATGCTGTACGACATTGCCTTAATTTTTAAGTTGTGCTTGGAACCTTTGTGTGTAATCTTCAAATGAAAGCTATTGAGCAGTACTTTCATATGGTACTGTTTATTATGCTGTCCAAGGTTGTTGTAACTTTCAAGTTCGTGGACGAAACTCTCGTGTGTAACTATTCAAATGAAAGCTATTAGGCAGTACTTTCATGTCATACTGTTTGTTCTTCAATATCTGGTGAGATGAAATTGGATAACCGTAATTTTTCTTTTTCAGCGGGAAGCGGAGAAAAGATAAATGTTATGCGAAGCATTCACAATCTTGGCGCCATTATGACGCGTATGGCATTAGGAGGGAACCAAGACCCGTGGGGGCTTACACAGCAACCTGAAGGAGGAACCCAGCAAGAAAGCGAAATCGACCATGTTGTCATGGAGACCAAGGCAAAAATAATCGAAATCCTGGAATTTATTATGAACGTTCGACTTGATTATCGCATTTCCAGTCTACTGACGATTTTCAAACGGGATTTTGACGAAAGCAATGCTGGCTTAGCAGAAATGAATGGAGAAAATGGTATTGTGTCACTGTGTGTTGTTATTTCTGTCTGTTTTTACGAGTCTTGCAGTATTTTAGTGAGCAAAAGTAAAAATGGCGAGTAAAACGTGCAGCGACACATCTCATTAAAATGCCTGACAATAGAACTTGAACTCGCGACCCCTTGATTTCAAGTCCATTCGGCCATGCTGCCTCTAATCTAAGACCTTATTACCAGTTAAATGATAAATGCTTATAACTGTCAGCTCTTTCACTGGCCTCGAGACTTGACGCAACATATTCCAAAACTGATGACTGATAGCGTTACAGGAATCCATTAGGAGCAGTTTGCAATTGAGTGTCGTAAGACCAGAACCGAAGTGATCACTCCGGCCAATCATTGATCACACTGGCAATCCAGTGAACCAATCAAAACTCAAAGCACATACATGAAGTTGACGCCACGCGGCAAAGCGCGGGAAAGCGTGTTCGAGCAAGTCATTATTGGGTTTTACTTCTGATTGGATGACAAAGTGACGCGAGTATTTATAAGCCAATCGCTTAAGGGAGCCCAGTCATGGCATTTTTGAGTTATTTTGGCCATGAGAAAAATTACCTTTAAATTGAAGGAAACTTGAAAATATTAGTTTACTAAGACTGAAAAAAGCCAAAGAGATAATAATAAACCATAAAGGAACAAGGATGGTTAAGGATGGAGAAGATTAACACAGATTACAAACGACGAACTTAAAATATTTAGGCTTATATTTTCAAGTTGCGGAAACCGTGACGTAGTTCCTTTAATGTAGTAATGCAAAACCAGAGCAAATGCGAAATTCTTTCGACACTCGAGTGAAAACCGCTCTAATGCAAGACCAAGCAAATGCTAGTTGCTTTCAAAAGGCTAGTTTAAATCCGCGCTAATGCACTGAATAATCATCTGTCCAATTTTACATTTTATTTCCAGGAACTAAACTCAGACGCTGTAAAATTGATAAAGATGGTGTTCCGTATTACCTTGGACCTCCTAACTGTATGTTGTAAAGTTTAAAACAATCACTCACTCGCGTTAACTTTAAAAAAGTAACTTAAAAATAATTAACTAATTACAATAGGAAGCCACATCAGCCTTCGCTGGTCCTCTATCCAGGTCGAATTGGAGTTTGGAGATGTTGGTTTGACTGTAAAGTGAACTTGCTTAAATATAAATTTTGTTGACTTTTCTCGGAAATGATTTCATTGCTAAGAGAAATGGCATTCAAATTAAACGTCATAACAAAACAAATTTGGAGTAAACAACTTGAAATAGCTTAAACAAACTAAAATGATGTTAAATAGCTGCTGTAGTGTGTGACCTTGATCTAATGAGGATCCTCGGTGTCGTAACCATCTTTACATTCACTGCTTGTAATCTTCAACCTTTGAAAATATAACTAAAGTTTCCAAATAATCTGCTATTGGCCGCGAGAGACCTGGGCATCAGGCAACTACAAATGGCTTTTGTTCTGAAGATTTACAGTAAGTCTAAAGATAGCAAATGATTGTAGATTGAATATTCATTTTCAATTAAATGGTAACTGAACTACAAAGATCAAAATCTGGATTTTGATTTAAATATAAACTCCTTTGAACTATATCATGAAATTTGTAATCGAGTCTGATACTATGAAGGTTGGAATTGATTGTCTGTAGAGGCGTTTTGAATTTTCTGTGTCGATTTTGTTTTGATTTGCGAACACACTTTTATACTTTCCATACAATGTACAAGTTGATGATAAACATTCTACTTTCAGGGATTGACCTGGAAAACATCAGCGCACAAGCGGAAGCTATATTTGGAGGGTCTACGTAAGTTCTTCCGTCTGTTAGAGAGATCATCAGTAGGCCTGCAAATATTATTTTTTGGTTCTATTTTTCCACAGAGCTGTTTTAAGGAACAATGTCAAGATATTTTAAAGCCATTTTCTGATTAATTTTTAATTGAAAAAATGTCAAAATAATAATTTCGTAATGTAGGATGATACCAAAATTGTGTTACAAAAAAACAAACTAAATAAGGATGGCCATGAGACGGATTACAAACGACGAAGTTGACAGAAATCGGTCAATTTTGTCACGCTGCGCGGTCCGTGACATAGCTCACCATACATTGGAGCGATCAATATGGAATTCCTCCTTTCAATATTGGATACTGTCCAGTAAACAGGTGATAAGTGTTAATAAAAACATCATCCAAAGTAATATTGTCCGCCTGATTTAACATGAAATTCTCGGAACTAACATGTAAAAGAAATGTGTGGTTCTCCGCAAGGAGAATTAGAATTTTGAACTTTGAACTGACGGAATTGAATTTTCTTTCAGTGGACTAAAAGAGATTGACCTTGATCTTGATGGTCAGGGGGGCCGCACATTCCTCCGTGTGCTGTTGTACCTGTGTATGCATAACTACCCTCCCCTGGTGACAGGGGCGCTACAACTTCTCTTCAGGCATTTCAGTCAGAGACAAGAAGTACTCCAAGCCTTTAAACAGGTCAGTGAGTCTTAACAGGTCCTCAACACACATAACTACCTTCCCTGTTGGTTTTGTAGTCTTTCACCCTGTCAGTACGTAGCTGGTCTGTTCGGTTTCCAGTAGTCCTGAGTTTAACTGTTTAGCCACGCAACAAGCTAACCCGGCTATCTACCTTCCCCTCTCCACCCACCCTTCCCGTCGCCTTCCCCACTTCTCCCCCACACCCCGT